CCATCAATCCGCTGCTGCTATCTCGCCGCTGCTCTAATAACTCCGCTGCTGCCATCTCGTCGCTGCTGCCGTCAATCCGCTGCTGCCATCCCGCCGCTGCTGCCATCATGTCGTTGCTGCCGTCAAATTGCTACTGCAATCAATCCGCTGCTGTTTAGGTCGTCGTGGGAATGAGCTGCCGCTGCATTCTGTGCCTAAGGGACGTGAACGCCGGCAAACAGCCGACGCCTCAGGTAACGAGTGCGAATTATTGAAAGTGGTGCAAACAAAAAATAACAACAATAAAATTGCAAACGACCACTTTCAGTTTTTGGCTCTCCCATTTCACATTATACGCTTATTTATACATACATATATACATATGGTTATACATACTTGTATATATACATACTTATTACATATTGAAGTGAATGTGAAGGGATATTGGGATTGCGGATTTGCCTACATTAAGGTGCGACTTTTTTGTAAATCACATAATTTTAAAATTTTAATTCGGTCAGTTCTTTCGCATATTAACTCGTGTTTTCGCAAATTTAATTCCTGGACAATATTTTTTTGCGTTAAATTTTCAACTGTGTTATTGCTCATTTTGCATAACTCATCGGTTTGGCTCTCGTATACTTGGGAATCGATATTATTTTTTCTCTTTTTCGTAACCGATTCCAAATATATTTGTTGCCAACCTCTATTGCTATTATTGGTTTGGCTTTCGCATATTTGGGAATCGATATATACATATATATTTTTTCGTTTTTGTTATCGATTCTTAATACACCTGTTGCCAACCTTTGAAGGTGTTTTTTCGGGAATTTAATTTAAACAAACAAAAATGAGCAAGCCAAAGCCAACTATCGCCAACCTCTCTCCAAGTAAGGAGTTGATAGACTTAAAGTCATTAAAACGACAAAGGACGGTAGCGAAAAATAGTATTTTGCGAATAAAGACGGGCCTTTTAGAAAAAACCATGTCGTTAGATCCAATTGAATTGGAATGTCGGCTCGACATATTAAATTCACATAGTGAAAAGCTAATGAAATGCCAATCTAACATTGAAGAGATTGATGAAGACGACATTGCCCGAGGGGAGTTAGAGGACATAATTGTTGAAATGAAATCAATAATTAAAAATATTTTAGCCAAAAATAGAACGTCCATTGCCGAAACATCTTTCGTAGCTTCTCACAGCTCAAGGCTCCCTAAAATGAATTTGCAGAAATTCAAGGGAGAATATTCAGAATTTAAAAATTTTATGAGTTTGTTTGAGAGCTTGGTTCATAATGATCCAAATATCCCAGATATTGAGAAATTTAACCATTTGGTAAATTGTCTATCTGGAGAGGCTCTGGGAATAGTTAAAGCGTTTCAGATGTCGGATGAAAATTACCCGAAAGCGTTGGCAAGTCTCAAAAAAGTTTATGATAATAAATGTTTGATATTTTTCAACATGATATTTAAACTTTTTGAGCTGCCAACTATTCCAAAGTCATCAGCACCTTCATTACGAGCGATGATCCATGAATTGTCTGCTGTTTATGACTCTTTGCTATCTCTTGGCGATGAGAAGCAAATAACAAACGCCATTATAATACACATAGTTATGACAAAGGTTGACTCTGCCACCCGATCCAAGTGGGAAGAGCAACTGGACTACGATCACTTACCATTATGGAAGGATTGCGAAACAACCTTAAATAGAAGGTCTCAGCAGTTAGCAGCGGAAGGAGCATCGTGTTTGAAGACGAAATCCGGAGCCACAACCAGCATGAACCACATGAAGCAGCCACACATGGACAGGAGAAAATCAGCTTTAGTTGCTGCAGATGCAAAGCGGCCAAAAAATGCAAGTCATAGGAACATCCTTTAGCTGTCTGCCCCACTTTCAAGGCGCTTTCGGTAGAACAGAGGTTCGAGTTTGTGAAATCGGTGCCCTTATGCATAAATTGCTTGCGTAAGGGGCATACTGTGTCCAAGTGTAGAGCGGATCGATGTCGTGTACGCAGTCGATCGCATCACACATTGTTACACCAGTACCCGGTGGTTTCCTTCCCCGCTGCAGCTCATCCGCAACCATCAACCACACATGCCATGCAGCGAGTATGCCGGATCGGGTAATGTTGGCGACAGCTGTTATTCAAGTGAGGACCAGTTATGGTGAATACCTGCCTGCGAGAGCGTTACTGGACTCAGGCTCCCAAGTCAACTTTATG